AGCACAACACTACAAGAAGGAAAATGTCATAAGTAGCAGACACACGACAAATTCAACAACATCTATTAAAGGGATCTATACATGGGCGATACTCACTTCCCATTGCCATTCTCGAGCAAAAGCATGTTGGGCACGTCACCTGGAAAGCACCAACATGCATGAATTACGGTAGTGTGGGCAGTGAGCATAAATTTAACCTGCACAACGTTATCTACAATGACTCCCAACTCAAGTACGATAGAAAAATTGGTTGTTTTTCAATCTAATCTTCCAAAAAACATCAAACCGAGTATTGCGAAAATAAGATGGGATTAAACAATATACCTTTTCAACCTGCAATTCTTTAATCTTGACGATTTTCCTCACCCATCTCAAAGAATTGACAATTTATTATGAGGAAAGAAATATAGTGTATATTCGTCATTGACATGATAGAAAAGGAACACATCTCAATGAAACCAATTTGTATGTACGGACTGATCTAATGCGTCAAAACAACTATACAATCTCTAGACAGTTGAACGAGAATCATGCCTAATACAAATTATTACTTATATGCTTACGAAGATACTATGGACATGTTTACCTTTAACCGAGCCGCACAAGTGATCTTGAAGAGTTTATTCATTCACGGAATGATGATGACCATGTCGGCTCCCTCCGGTGCCTCCCGAACTGAACATAGGGGTGGTTGTCCTGAGAGACAGGTGGCGAAACATGACCAGTGGCGTATGATCCATAGACAGCAAGGCCCATGGCCGAGGATCCAAAGACGCCCGGATGGGCACTGTGGCAGTCCAAAGAGACAAACCAAGCTATGGCGGCCCCTTGTGTCCCGGATGTGTAAGCGGTCATATCCCAATTCTGCACAAACACAGAAAATATTACAACAGGAAATATGTGAACTTGCAATGTATAGCTTATTCTAAACATTTTTGCATTCGCCTAGAATGAATAAAATGTCAGACTGGAGCTAATCGACTGTCGTATATGAACTTAATCAAACCTTAATATATGATGCAGAAATATGTAGCAGTTTGCAGTTGATGCACGCAAATAAAAGTTCAGATGTACAATTAAGTAAAATTATCAAACAAACAATGGTGAACTCAAATATCAGTTTAATTTGCTACCGGATCTTTCTCAAAACCACGCCCTGGAATGAAGTGCTCCATCTCACAAAGCATCATCAAGTGCAACTTTAAGTTTCCAAAATGCTAAACCGATAGACCACCTCCAAGTTCCAACTTAATAAAACGTTATGCTCACACAAACCAAGTTAAAGTGAATCATTCTCTATTTGGCTTAGAACTGCTTGGCACGGGATAAAAACCATCTGTTCGAAGCATGCATGTCACCTTATCTTATATATAAAGCAATAGGCCAGTGAATTACCATGCCGACCTCAGCAGCATCGACAACAAGCACAACCCTATCCGCTAGCCCAAGAGCAGAAATCATCTCGTTAGAAAAATTGACATGCATAGGCGCATCCATGATATTGAGGCACAACCTTGACGAAATCCTATTTGCTTCAGTTAAGAGCTATATTCTCCTTGTTTCTTTCCTGCAGAACTTGGAATGAGAATCAGGAAGTAAAATCCAACATTGACATGGATGCATTTTGCTGCTAATCTAGTAATTGAAACAACTGAAAGAAACAACACTCCCAGAATGCATTACAGGATCGTGTAGCAGTCACCACAAAGGCTAACAATACAGAACTCGCCTAGGATTGACTTACCTGCACCACGAAAAAAACAATTGGATTAAAGAACAACATTCAGAAAAATAAAATAAAAATGATAATGAATTTAAAGATTGATAGAGGGAGAATATAATGCATCGTCCTGTATTTAGCAGCAGCAGCACATACACAGAATTTTGCAGCTGTAGCATACACAAAACGACAACAGTAGCAGCAATCTCCTCTTCCCCATCCACTGCCCTGGCCAGCTCCAAGCTCAAGTGCCCAACCACCACCGCCAGGCACTTCCCCACACACAGAATTTTGAAGATAATTAAACTGAAAATCTTTATCTTTACCTACCAGATAAAAAAATTTGGTTTTCACAAAGAAAAGCGTGAAGAAGTTCTTCCTAACCAGATGGTTCAATAATCATTGACCTTGTGAAACTTGATACACCTGCACAGCAACACAGGAAGATGTAAAATTTCAGAGATGAGGTTGAATATAGCAACAACAAAAGGAATTGGACGTCAGGAAGCAGGTGAACCGAGGCATGAACCGACGTCGGCAGCGCCCTCCATTAATCTGCTAGGTCGGGGGCGCATCGGCCCACTTGCGGGAGAGGCAGGGAGGCGGACATGGCACGACATTTTGGAGGGAGGCGACCATGGCATGGGACGGCGCGGCGGCTGCGCGCGGCGCCGGCGCTCGGGAAGACGGATAACCATGGAGGCCCGCGGAGCGAGGCACAGACTTACAGATCTGGTTGCACAGAGGCCCACTTGCGGGAGAGGCGGGGAGGTGGCCATGCCAGGTCGTTCTGGAGGAAGGCGACCATGGCATGGGACGGCGGCGGCCGAGCGCGGCGCCGGCGCTGGAGAAGACGGCGGACCATGGAGGCCGCACGGAGCGAGGCGGAGACGCACGGATCTAGCCGCTCCCAGGTCAGATCGGGCCGCAGTGGAGCTCCACATCGGGATCCATGGTGTTCCATCGGGATCCATGGGCCAGAGACAAGATTTGTGAGAGAGAGGAAAGGAAAGGAGAAGGGAGAAGAGGAGAGACAGGGCGCGCGGGAGGGCTTACTGGACGAAGGCTGGAGGTCGGGAGCAGTGGCGCTGGACGCCAGAGTGAGATGCAAGCCAAAGGGAGAAAACCGTGATGGAGAAAACCGGAAGGGGGGAAAGAAAATCGAGTGGGCCGAGAGGTGTTGACAAACGTAAGAGGGGAAACGGAACACTGCGTTTCTTTTATCTCTACTCCTAATGGAGCAGTTGGTAGCCTCGCTTCCAGGTTTTTTTTCGTCCCACCTTTCATGGTTTTTTTGGTACCTGCTCCCACCTCACACTGAGCCGCCACGAACCGAAAAAACCTCGTACCGAGGCCCCCACCCGCCCCCACACACTCCAGGGCCTAACCTCGTATCGAGGCTCCCAGTTTCGTCGGTTTTTTTCGTTTGGTTTATTTTTGTCTCATCTCTCACCACCCCTCCCACCTTAATTTTTTCTTCTTCCCACTTAAAACCGAATCACGTCTGATTCTCCTTCCATTTATTCGTGCTTGCTTTGGCAGGTGTCGATTCAATTCAATCATGTAAATATTTTGGCAAGTTCTGATTCAGTAAATCGAGAGCAATCAGCGTAGCCGGATTCGGTAATTGGTAATTGAAATCGTAGGCAAGAGATCTCCTCGTCCATCAGTGCGAACTTCCTTTTTTTTACAATATGAGTCCCACCTTCTTAGCGCCAAAGTGTAATATATGGAAACATACTCAATGAATTATAACAGTAATTAACCCAATTATTACATACCAAACATCAGGTACGTCATTAATTCGCTTCCTTTTCTTCCCTTCGTCCCTCAATCCCACGCTCATGGCGCTATAGTGGCGGAGTCGCCGATGGCGACGAGGACAGCCCGTGGCAGCCCCTGAAGAACTAACACGACCCAAGATATGGGTGAGTTCTCGTGATCTCCATCCTACTCCCTCACTTCCTCCAAATTCCTCGATCCCGTTCACGCTCTGATCCGAAGGCCGATGCTGCTCTGTCCGATTGACAATGCAGGTTCGGGATCGTTCCTTTCAGCGCCCACTCTTGGTAGAATCGGCAGCATGCCATGCAGATCGATCCCGGCCGAGATCACGGGATGCTTGCACAGGGCTCGCCAAGATTGCTATTCTGAACTTTTTTGTGAACAAATGAAGAGTGGGACAGGATCCACACTTGTGCTAATATACTTGTGTAGTTGCGGGTTTTGTTTTAAAAATCCAATTGTTGTTTATCTTTTGTCGCTGAAAAATGATTACTAATTATGACATTGATTTTATTTCTTCTGGATGTTGTATATTCTTGGATTGAAGGGACTCCCTAACAAGGTGAAAGGTCAGGTTACATCTGCATGTCGTTCTATACTTGTTTACCTGATTACTTGATGTATAATTTCACATGGGTAAAGTAAAAATATTTAGCCTGGTTTAGATGATGCAATCAGACGAAGAATGACAAGGGGCTTGTACAAATTTCTTGGGAGAAGACAACCCAAATTTTGGCATTGGTCGTAATCTGGTAGTTCTTTAGGTGAGTGACACATTCATTTGAAGAAGCACGAGCTGGAATCAGACACCTATTTTTTTAATGTTTGCTGCTTATTATAACTTTTTCTAATTGAACAAGAGTTTTATGTAATAACCTTACAGAATAGAGAGCCATGCAAACATATATATGACATTTTTAACTTGTCAAGGAGAATATGCAGATTAACTTTTCATGAGTAGTAGTCCTCTTTTGTTAACTAAAATTACTTAGTTCTCATGTACGTGGGTAATTTTAGAACTTGGAACTTGGAAGTTGATCCAAACAAAGAAAACAATTAGGCCTTCTTTGATTCATAGGATCTTTATAGGATTTTCATAGGATTGTAATCCTATGGATTTTTTCCTGTGATGGTTGTTTGATTTACAGGGATTCAATCCTCAGGAATATATCCTGTGGAAGTTTCCCTTCTGTATTTCACAGGAAATTTTCCAAGAAGTCCGACCTCTCGGAAAGAATCCTGGCGGGAAGAAAAGCGCGCGCCGCTCGCTCACCCACAGTTTTCGCGGTAAATAACAGGCTTCGCATACCTTATCACGACACCACATCGGCAGAAAACGCAAAACAGCAAACCCTCCTCCTACAGCACCGCTTTTCCCCATCTCATTCGCATCGACCTAGTCGTGCTGCGCCACGGCCGGCCGGCCGGCCGCGCGGCCCTCAGCTCAACTCCTCCGCTGGAGGACAGGCCTCTTGCGTCTGTGCTCCCACCCGCGATGTCCAGCAACAAGGTACTTTGGGGGCCACTCCAAAAGCTAGATCTGGTCCTCTCTTGCTTCATATGATAGCTAATTGAATTTTTGTCTTATTGCTCGGCATCAACTACCATGATTTGTAGCTACCATACACACATACGATTGATTTTGATTAGTATTGGCTTGCAACGTATTGTGGATTTTTCTCCCGTTTTTCAGATCTGAGATTACTATTTCGGGATTGGGGATTTTCTTTGCAACTACAGGTCTAAATATTTTCTCAGATTTGAGTTTATCCGGTAGCCTACCAAATGACATGTGAGGCCATGTCCTGATGCTACTCGTATTGCTAGTTTTCTTCTGGTTCATTACCACTGTATGAGTATCATGAGACCGTTTTCTTCATAGCTATTAGATCAACATATATATTTTCTTACGTTTGAGTTAATTCGCAATGCACATAACATATATAGGAACATGGTAATTTGTGTGCGCGCACAGGGCACTAAATTTTCATCTTCCATGGATTCTCTTCTGCACAAATATCATTGGCGCCCTTGCATATGTGCTAACAGAATGTATGCTAATTAACAGTTTGATGCATGTAGGTAGCTGATCATTGGTGCCTGTCAGAGCGACAAGGTCATCATTTGCAATCCAATGGTGCAATTGATCTTGAACTTGATGGTGGGACTGCAAGTCTTCATCCAGAAATAGGTATGCTTTGATGTTTGAATGACTTTGATAAACTCAGATGTGCAATTTTATTTAGTTGTGACGTGTCATTGATTTAGAAACTAAATTTGTTCACCTATTTTGAATATTTAGGAGTCACAAAAGGTAATACTCGAGTCAAATGGAGTCCCCAAATGGCTGATCGATGGTGCCTGTCAGAGCGACAAGGCCATCATCTGCAATCCAATGGGGCAATTGATCTTGAACTTCATGGTGGGACTACAAGTCTTCATCCAGAAATAGGTATGATCTGATGTTTCAATGACTTTGATAAACTCAGTTGTGCAACTTTATTAAGTTGTTATGTGTTGCCGTTATAAAAAGAATAGTTGTGATGTTTAGAAACTAAATTCGTCCACCTATGTTAAATATTTAGGACTCACAAAAGTTAATACTCGAGCCAAATGGAGTCACCAAATGAAGTTGTTCCTTGTTAGACTCTTAAAAGATTATGATGTGCCTGGTTTTCGGACACATAATGCTTGGAGTAAGGAGGCATGGACAAATATTGTTTCTCGACTAAATCAAAGGTTTGATCAATCATTTACTCTCAACCAAGTCAAACAAAAGGAGCAGGATCTGAAGAGAGACTATCGAAATGTTAAAGAATTGTTGGATCAAAGTGGCTTTGGATGGGATAAGGACAGAAAAATGGTTGATGCACCAGATAATGTTTGGGCAAGCTTTGCCGCTCGTAAGAACAGCAAGGATGTCCTGCAATGGAAAGAAAGGTCATTCCCCCTTTATGAAGAATTAGCTCCACTCTATGAAGGTGACTAACATACTGTTGCCATTTACATTGTAGCTTATTTTTCTTGCTGTCTACACTTTGCATATAAGGTTTAATTGTTCTAAACAAATTTCTGGAACTATTCTGTAGGTCGTTATGCTGAAGGGAGAACTCGTCGAGGCTTGGACCATTATACTAGGAAGAGGAAGCATGCACCAGTTCCCTCATCACAATCGACACAAGTGACGGATCTGTATCAATCACCATCACCTACCATGCCAGCTGCCGGTGAGTCAGATATGCAGTTTACATTAGATGAAAAACTTGACGAGTTCAATTTGGATTCTCCCCCGCACCTATCTACACCTATTCAGCATGTGCAAGCCCCGCCAAGATCTACACAAATGGAGAAACATGACACTAGGCGTGGGAAAAAACAGAAACGTGGTGCTAATGATGATTTCCATGAGAAGTATCTAAAACTGAAGAAGGAAGAAATTGATCGATTTGCTGCAATTGAGGAGAAGAAGCTAGAGGACCCCTACACCATCAACAAGTGCATCACAGCAGTTGAAGGGTTGGAAGGTTTACAACTAGGAGATATGTTGATGGCATCAGATATCTTCAAATGCAAGGAGAACAGGGAAGTTTTCTTGTCATATTCTACTAATGAACTACGACTGGCTTGGCTTAAAAGAGAGATTGCGCGTGCCCAAACTACCCATCAAAATTAGCCATTGTGGTGATCCACTGAGACCATAGGTTCTATTTTAGGGAAGCTTTTGGTCTGTAGGTGTCATATATTTATGTTTAGTTCAGTTGGTCATAGAACTGACCATGATGGTTTAGTATATTTTGGTAGTTATGTTGAGAGGCTTTTGGTTAGGCATGCATGAAAATTTGTAGTACTATTGCAAATTTGAAGTCCAAGAATGGTATTACAACTTGCATGTCATATTTCAAGTACAAGAATGGTAGCTGAACTTGGATAACATATTACATATTCTATGATCTTTGTGATACATACTGTGCCCACATTTGTTGTGCTATATCTTCTCCCTTTTGATTCCCAGCTTCTCTAGAGTAATTAAATGCATGTATGTCATTATGATACTTGTGATCTCCACTTGGCACATCAACAAATTGTTCTTGGTCAATCTCCACAGCAGTATTCTCAGGCCAAGATAGATCTCCATTATGCAAACGTATGAAATTGTGAAGCACACAACTAGCAACTGATATGTCAATTTGTTTGGTAACAGAGTAATGTGAAGCCACTCTCAATATTGGAAATCTCATTTTTACTATACCAATAGTCCTCTCGATATGGTTTCGGAGTTGTGCATGCCGTAGGTTGAATAATTCCTTGTAATTTCTTGGCCTTTGGCGAACTCTCCCTTGTTCTTGCAGGTGGTACCTAGTACCACGATATGGTGCCAGAAATTGTGGTGTATTTGCATAACCAACATCTACAAGGTAAAATTTTCCGGGGGGTACTTGAAACCCATGGTTAAGTGCATCTTGTAGGACTCTTGCATCTGAAGCTGATCCCTCCCAACCAGCATGTACATGCACAAACTTTAAATCAAAATCGCATGCTACCATAACATTTTGTGACAATGTTTGCTTCCTATTGCGATATGGTTCTTGCTCATGAACAGGTAATTCCAATGGAATATGTGTACCATCTATAGCACCGATGCAGTCCTGCATAAATATAAGTACATAAGCCATATAATCTTCTCCATAAAATTTCGAAATTATGTTATTTGAACTTGATCATAAGCGTGCATACATACCATAAAAAAGGGGTAGAACTTCTGTTTACTCAAGATTGGATGCGGGTGTAGGGAAGGTGGACGTATATATACAGAATAGAGTTCTGTAATTGCATTGAGCACTTCTCCGAAATAGTAACTTATTGTTTGTCCACTATGCTGAAACCAATCTGCCAAAGTATCATTTGTTGCATTCTTAGATAATGCATACAAAAATATAGCAACTTGTTCTTCTACTGAGACATCTCTTCCATCAACAAGGCGATCATTCTCGCGCAGTTTTTGAACCAAAGCTTGAAATATGTCAATCTCCATTCTGAAGTGCCTTTTGCATAGGTCTTCATGTCCATTCAAAATTTCGTTTACACGTCGTGCACCTGTAAGTATTGAAGTGTGCATAGGTCTTCTTGAGGAATGAGAGGGTTCTTCTAAAGTAGGAAGAACAAAAAGAGCAAATTCATCCTCACTTTTTGATCTACGACTGTAGCTTGGATCCATCTGTTATGACAAACAAGCCTGTGGAAATTAGTGAGCTGCGTCATGACTTTACAAGTTTAAATATAATCTGCTTAATTAGCATAGTTAGACTTCTAGTAATTTATTGGTCAAACAACAAGGCTTAATTCTGCCATGCTAGTCACATCGTGATCCCAAATAACTTTGTCATACTCTGGATTTTTTTGGCAGATAACAAACAACAAGGCTTAATTCTGCCATGCTAGTCACATCGTGATCCAAATAACTATGTCATACTCTGGATTTTTTTGGCAGATAACTGATACGGCTTAGCGTAGATCATTCTACTGTGTCATGATATTAAGACAATATTTCTTTTCTTGCCTTTCACCTCAGCATATGTTTGAATCACTTACAGAATGCAAGAACTAAAAAAGAATATGGCTTTTCATGCTGATGGTTGTTGGTGACTTGATGATTTTGGGTGGTCGGCTAGGATGAAAATTGTATCCGGTGCTGTCGATTTTCTTGATATGGACTGAATCAGCGGCGGAGCTTCATGGGGGCCAACCTGGGCGGTGGCCCCCCCAGCCCAAGAAAAAATCACCTAATACACGTTAGTTTTTGTGCTGGATGTTCAGTAAAAACAGGCTAAACCTCATAGTTTTGCCCCTCCTTGGCCCATTGCCCCTCCAAAGATTAGGCCCAAGCTCCGCCACTGGACTGAATGGCAGTGGTGGAAACATGTACAGGGCAAAGAACTAAAGCAAAGGGAATGTATACATGGAGAAGATCTAAAAAAAGCAAAGGGACGTGTACATGAGAAGAACTAACCTCAGATTTGAGAGAAGATCAAGCAAGTATGAGAAAACTTCAGCTATCACCAGCAAAGACTTGCATGTAACCTGTTCTTGGCTGTATGAAATGGAGAGCTTGTAAAGAAGAAACGTTGTGCTTGCGTACGTATATATATATCCTGTTGTAGCCTAACGGCTAGCTCAGTGAGTAACGGCTACCTGTTTTGAAAGCACACCTTTCAAAATAATAATATTATAATGCTCTGAGTTCATATGCTTTTCCTATGCTCCCATCAAACACCCCAGTTGTGCCAAACCCTATGTTTTCTACTTCCATAGGATTCAGGTGGGTAGGGCATGTCAATCCTCTAATTTTCCTATTCCTCCATTTTTCCTTTCCTATGAATCAAAGAAGGCCTTAACCTCTACATCCCGTATCTAATAAGATGGATATGTATGAGAATATTAAATATACTATTAACGTGATTAATATTGAACTCTTAAAGTTAATGTGGCCCCGTTGCAACGCACGGGCGTTCTTCTAGTAGATAGTAGAGATAGAGATATAATATAAGTAGAGATACTATACTACAGTACAAGAAAAAAAAACTCGAGTCACGAATCACGACCCACAACCCGGCCCCTCCACCCCAACCCCCGGCATGGAAGCCGACCGCGTTTTCGCCGGAGCCATCCGGAAAATCCAGTCGCGCCGAAGCCAAATCGACCGCCGACGGACCCGTCTTGATCAAGAGCGCCAGCGTCTCTTGGATAAGCAATCGGAGCTCCGCGGCCGTACCGAAAAGGGTGTAGCCATAGGAGCCTCGGGCAATCTTGAAGCTCGACGTATCAAGAGCGAACTCCAAGATCTCGAGAAAAAGTACACCCGTCTCAACCACGAGGAGGCAGATCTCCGCAGGGAAGAGCGCGACATCGACCTCCACCTCGGCGCTTGTCCCGCCGGCCATACACCGTCCTCTTCGCGTGAAACTAGGTAATGACTCCCAATATTGTTGATGCAGGT